AAAAAGCAGCGTTATGTTCAAGTGGATTTTGCAACTCAAAAAAAAACCACGCAAATCTAAAACTTCTTGAATTCAAGCATTTTTTGAGAAAACTGACAACATTTCCTTATCGATGGTTTACTTTCTAAAAAGGCCATTTAGTTCTCTTTGGAATGATGTAAAAAACGAGCGATCTTGCTTATTGTGCTTCCGAGAAAACATGAAATTTTGCAATAATCTTACGCCACCTTGCACAAAACGACGATAATTTTTCTAATTTCATAGAGAAGAGAAAACTGTATCTATTCTACATAACCCCCTCTGAATTTAAAGCTGGATCCGCCCCTGGTCCGAACGAAAAATTACGGTTTTGACAAAATGCAAGGCTGCGCTTAAAAATTCGTAATTTTCAATCTAAAGCATGCAACGACTTGAAAATTTTCCAGCCTAGAGGGAACAGTTGAGTCTATAAATCCACAAAATTTCAATCGAATCGCACCGAATCCAGATTTTTGATAAATTTGTACCAAAATTGACGATTTTGCCAAAAATGCATGGCTGGCTTTGCAAATTCGCAACTTTCAATGCAAAGCAGGCATCGATTGGACATTTCTTCAGTCTAGAGTGAACAGTTGAGCCCATAAAACCACAAAATTTCGTTCAAATCGCGCCGAATCCTGATTTTTTATAAATTTGTAGTTTGCACCAAAAATGACAAAAATTCATGGTTGCATTTAAAAATTCGTATCTTTCAATATAAAGTAGGCATCGACTTGAAACTTCTACAGTCCAGAGTCTACAAATCCCCAATTTGACCAACCAAAACTGAGGGTTTTTGCGCAACTGCATAGCTTCCTTTAAAAATGCATAACTTTCAACCAGGACGAAGAATCGAGTTGAAATTTTCTCCATCTATTGAAGACACTTGCATCTCAAAACCCTTTAAAAGTCGTTGCTTAAATCGCACTAAACTTTTCCAATTCCAGGTGCGAAAATTACTGTTTTACGAAACAATTAGGGGCAAAAATTCCCATTCACTCTAAAGGTATCATGAATCCTCTGGGCCTGCACTATTAAATAATGTGTTTTCTTAGGCACAAAGAAGCCGTACATTTATGGCACTTGCTGGATAATCAATGTTAGTGTGAAATTGTATTAAACAAAAGAGAGCGATGGGAGGTGAAGCTAGAGGGCCGCAAACAGGACAAACCAGGTCGCATGCAGCGAAAACAGCCAGTAAGCGAAGCGTTGAACGGCAGTTTGGTATGTTAAAAAGAAAGATATTGCACAAATTGCGGCATCGCAGCCGACATGGTTTATCTGAGGTCACTGGGATATAAATACCTTAACAGTATAATAAAGAAAAGTATAATTCGAGTGCATTATTTGACTTTTTAACTCAACCAAACCGATACATTGCAAATAGACTTACCAGTGGCGGCTGCAGCTTCGGTTCCTTCCTCATTGACTTCAATGAAAGCCTTCTGGATCACTTCGCTCACGTACAAAGGTTCACTACCGGTCAGCATGTCGCTGAAATTGGCCTCTCCTTGGGAGAAAATCACGCCAAGTCCCACCTGAAACATCGCAAAAGACAAACATTATACGAAGTTAAACGCGTTGAAAAGGCCGAGTGAAATACCTTTTCGAGAACTTCGTTCATCTGAATGGTAGCTTCGATTTTGAATTTGGGCAATTTTACAACAACCTCTGGCTTGTACATGTTTTCGGTGATTTTGGACAGATCGGTATTGGCCAGTTTTTCCTCTAGCTGCGCAATGCCATTACGCTTGTTGGGGAGAATGACGATCAAGCTCACTTCAGGGTTTGAATAGGGCAGTTCCAAAACTTTAGCGTCCAGCGCCTCGTCTTCTTTAAAGAAGTACTTGCCCTTGTTGTTCATCATTTGGACATCGATGGAATCCACATCGTTCAAGTAGAACTTATCGGTTACCGTGAGGCTTTTGTCGAATTTGGAAGCCCAGGTTCCTTTGAAGTAGATGGCGTTAACCAGCACCAGGCGAGTTGCGGAATTAAGAGAATCAGGAGAAATGAGATCTTTGATCTTATTTTGCGTTTTATCTTCAACCCATCCATTTATTAACTTGGCAGTAGCGTTATTGTTGCCGAAGTTCACGGGTTGCACTTCGGACAGGAATTTTTTGGCAGTGATTTCCTGGAACGTTGGCTTCAACGAAGCATCTTCTGCGACGAAGATTTTATTGGCCATCAACAGTTGAACGTTGGGGACATTGTTCAGATGGCTCAGCACATCGCTGTAGCCTTCGGCAGCCTGCAGATGGCCGGAAAAGCCGAGTACTTTGCCGAAGGCTTCATGTGTGGTGCCTTTGGAGCCTTGATAAGCCATCGCAAGCACTGCATGGGCACTGATTGGCGAAAAGAACACATTGCCTTCTTTTTGGGCGAGGACATTGTAGAGCTTCTTAGTGAAGTGACCGTTGCCTTCGATCACAGCTTGCAATTCTTCTCTTCCGCCCATTATCACCGGTAGAAGAGCCAAAAACGAGAGAATACAGATTGTACCTGAAAAGAACATGAGTTTATTCCAACCGCAGCTACACTGTGAATTATTTGACACTCATAATAACGTACTTAGGGCTTATTTGCTTTATTTTATCTTAACTTAGAGATATTGGAAACTAGAGACTTACACACCTCCGCCCGATTAACTGTTATCGCTCTACTATTAAGCATGACTCAGACGAGATATATACGGCAAACAATTGGAATTGAGGCCAGAAAACAGATAATTAATAAAAGCGGATTTTATACTTCAAAATCTACATTACCAGAAGCTAGAAGACGATGGCTCGGTTGACCGTCTGCAATGTGTGCTATTTGGCACGTAGTTCTTTCCTTCATAAAATCCGCAGTATTTTTAACTTGATCAAAATTCCTGTGAATCAATGTTTGAAAAACCAACGACCTTCACAGTACGATTTGAGCACAAATAGAAAATACAGAAACCCAAACAAACCGAACACGTCAGTTTAACATAACCCAATATAGTATGTAGTCTGTGACATAACCGTAAACTATGCTGTCAAAATAAATAAATAAATAAAAGAAGCAATTTGGTATCGATGTTGTCATACTATTGTTTTAAGTAAAAAGAGATAGGGAGTGGGACTGAGATGAATGATCCGATTATTTGATTCAAGATTTAAATGTTTTTCTATTCTATAATTATACAACAAATATAAAMTAACACAWTTTTTATTTTTTTCTATTATTCTAATGCAAGTAAGTCCGGAAAAAAAATACAGAAAGTTTTCCKAATTCTATTGAATTCTTGATTTTGYCAACTATTTCATTTTTTTGTCCAAAATTGAATGTATTTCCAAGAGCTCGTTTTAAGTAAAATGTGATGATTTAGAACTGATTTTTTAGAACTTTTCAAAATGTAGTCGAGAAATTATGGGCTTCGGACACATCCAGGGTCTCTATTAAAATTTCGTAACTTTGAATCTAGACGAAGGATTAACTCGACATTTTCACCATCTGGAGAATAGAACAGAGCCTACAGGTCCGGAAATTCTATTCTATAATTATACAACAAATATAAAATAACGCATTTTTTATTTTTTTTTGATTCTTCTAATGCAAGTAAGTCCGGAGAAAAAATACAGAAAGTTTTCCGAATTCTATTGAATTCTTGATTTTGCCAACTATTCCATTTTTTTGTCCAAAATTGAATGTTTATTCCCAAGAGCGCGTTTTAAGTAAAATGTGATGATTTGGAACTGATTTTTTAGAACTTTTCAAAATTTAGTCAATAAATTATGGGTTTCGGGCACATCCCGGGTCTCTATTAAAATTTCGTAACTTTGAATCTAGACGAAGGATTAACTCAAAATTTTCACCATCTGGAGAACGGAACTGAGCCTACAGGTCCGGAAATTTTCATTAAAATCGCACTTGCTACTGATTTTTGATAAATTTGTAAATTCTGAACAAAAAATGTTGTTTTCACGCAACTGCATGGCAACTTTTAAAAATTCATAACGTTCGATTTAGGAGGACGAGCAACTTCAAATCTGCAGGGGTCAAAAGTGCAGTACAAAACCCTGCAAAACATAAGTGAAAGCCCGCAGAAACCTGATTTTTTAGGACGTTCTAAGATCTAGTCCAAAAAGAAGGGTATTCAGGCTTATGCACCGTTTCTTTTAAAAATTCGCAACTTTCAATATAGAGGAGGAAATTAGTTGAAATTTTTACAGTCGGGAGGAAATAATTGAACCCACAGATGCTGAGACATAAATTTCAATCACTCTTACTTCTGATTTTTGATAAATTTGTTTTCACGCAACTGCATAGCAACCTTAAAAAATTCGTAACTTTCAATCTAGAGCAAGAAGCGACTCAAAATTTTCTCTGTCTAGAGACAATAATTTAATACAAAAACTGCCTAAATATGATTTAAATCCCATCAAAACCTGATTTTTTAGATCGTTTCTATTCTAGTCCAGAAACTGGGGTATTTAAGCTCACGCATGGTCCCTTTAAAAAAATTCACTGAGAAAGGAGTACCGATCTGAAACTTTTTTGAAAATTATTTTCGAGAACCACTTTCTTAGACATAAATTGAAAAACACTTCATTTTTTGAAACGGTATGTTTTCCGCTAAATATTCACAACTTTTAATTCGGAACAAGAAACAGCTTTAAATTCTCACAGTTCATAGCAGACATTTGAGGCTAAAATGTCTGGAATTTTCATAAAGATCGATGGAAAACTTCAATTTTGCCAACTTTGAAAACAACATCCATGGAAAATTAATATCACGCAATGGCTGATTTTTTTGTAAATGTGGCCGTTATTTGTGATGTTCAACATAAAATTGCCTGAGAAAATACATTAGACATTCAAGGGTTTTACGCAAAAATAATGTGTTTGGCACAATATGTAAATGATCATAACTATTATAAATTCAAGATGGTAAGGCCAAAGGGTTATCACTGGTTTATGTTAAACAGTGACGCTCACATTGATTAGTTGAAATTGTTGTTTCTCTGAAAACATCAGCATGCGAATATGTCACAATTTTCGAAAAAACATGTTCATAAAGTGAAAAGTTTCGAGAAAATTTTGTTCCAATTGGGTTCAATTGGACTTCATGAATGTTTTATAACTTATTTAGCCTGAAGAAATCTCTTCACTCCACTTACCCATTTCGGCAAAATGGAAAAATCAGTAGAGGAACAAACACACTTTCACAACGACTACCCGATTCATATAACGTCTTAATGTAATATAATTCACTCAAAGAGTAAAGTGATAACATTACACTGACTGCTTATTACATGATTTATTTTCTTCACATTATCAGCAGACGTAATTATTATCTGCAATTGTTTCTAAACAACATTCGCCTCGTATTAGGGCAAGCCATTTGTTGAATATTTATGCACATAATTATACAATTTAATTATTTGATTAAAATAGAAAATGTTTGTACGACTTATACGGTGTGTTCAAAGCAGTGAGTTCAATTATAAATCACCCTGTATAATGTGCAAAATTAATTTGTACAATTATTGGGCGAATATATTTGAATGATCATATCGAAACCCTAATTAAAGAATTTAGATTTAAATTACTAATTAAAAAAAACTTGCTATCAAATTGAATGATTTTATGCAGCTACCAGCTCTTATTAAAACCAGCAACTTTCAAACTTGCTCAAATACGAACTTGATATTTTCTGAGTCTCTAGAAGAGATCTGAGCGTGAATTCTCTGCGAATTTCATTAACATTTTACCGAATGCTGATTTTGGAGTACTTTGCAAAGGTTGGACCAAAAATAGCTGTTTTTACGCAACTTTAAAAATCCATAACTATTAAAGTAGAGCAATTATCGACTTGAAATTTTTACATTTTGGAGGCAAAAATGTTGATTGAAAAATGGAGATTACTTATTTTGTGCAACTGCATGCTTTTCCTTAAAAATTCCTAAATTTGTTAACTAGGGACTAAAACTGACATGTTTTCAAGCATTGCATGGTTTTCTATAAGAATTTGCGACTTTCAAAGTAGAGCGCGCATTGAGTTCACATTTTCACACCTTGCAGAAAATAATTGAGTCTCAAAACCGTAAAAATTTCGTTCTAATCGCATCAAGTCCCGATTTTTCATAAATTTATTAATACTGGACCAAAATAGACAGTTTTCGCGCAATTAAATCGCTTTCTTTAAAAATCCCTAAATTTCAAACTAGAGCAAGCATTGAGTTGAAATTTTGAACACCTGGAGAACATCCTCGATTCTAAAAGCGCTCAAAATTTCATCAAAATCCCTCTAAATCCAGATTTTTTACAAATTTGTAGATTGTGAACCGAAAATTACAGTTTGCACACAATTTCGTGGCGTTTTTAAAAATCCGCAACTTTCAAATTGGAACAAGCATTGAGCTAAAATTTTCGCACTCTTGAGGAGAACCTGATTGAATCTAAAAGTTCTGAAAATTGCATTTAAATCGCTCAAAATCCTGATTTTCCACAAATTTTAAGATGTGGACCAAAAATTGCAGTTTTCACGCAATTAGACGGCTTTCTTTAAAAATCCGAAATTTTTACTGTAGTAATAGGATCCACTGGAAACTTTGGCAGCCTGAAGACAACAATGTAGTGCAAGAATTCTGCAGATTTCACTCAAATCGCAATAAATTCTGATTTTTAATAACTTTCTGACCCAAAAAGTCTGACCCAAAAAAAGGGTTTTGCGCTACTACTGGAATTTCTCGCCCATTTTTTGAGCATACATCCTCTCAAAATCTACTCCGATCGCACCGAATCCTCCTGATTTTTGAGGATTACTCAAAGCAAAAGGGGTTGTCCAGTTTTAAAAATCTACGTAGAAACCGCCCTAAAAAATAACCCAAACCGCATTCAATCCTCAACTTGAACCAAAAATAACGTTTATCTGTTTGAAATGGGCACTCAATTAACAAGTCATCATTATCGGTAGTTGGGCCACTAATCCAAATTTCATTTTGGGGATTAGTGAAACTGACATGTTCGATGAGATAAAAAAAATTAGATCATAAATGCAAATAATTATTTGTTATATATTGAATCGAATGAGCAAGTTTCTGTAGCCACTTGAGGTCGAAACATGTTGCTGTTGTGAATGATTTGTCATTCGTCCCATCGGGCGCAGACAAAACAACTTAAACAAGTATGAGCGTACGTTTAAACCTAATTATCTAATTCCCCAGTTAAATTTTATGTAACGTGGCCGAGTGGAAATTAACATGTTGACCCTCGGCATCTACACCCACATTCAGACATTTTAGCAATAATTTCAGCTGATTGTTTGGGAAAACTGTTTAAGTTTTCCTTCGCCACCACTCACCTTGTTGCAAATAGCCGATTCACTTCACTAACTTGAAGCGTTTGTTTCGTACTACCCAAAAAAAATGATATTTTCGTCGATAACCGTCCCTAATCTTATCAAATATGTTCCTTCCATATCTTAGTCAAGTTCAAGTAGGGATAGCAAGTGGATACTCTGCATGGGAATTTTCCTTCCAGATCATGTTCATGGAACGCAAATTTCCCAAGCTCCAAACGGGCAAAAGGCAGTTTCATACAACAATTGCGCTCAAAGCAAGTGGTTTACAAAACAATCAAATTGCTCCAGCTCCAGGGCTTTAATCAAACAAATTGTCTTAGATTAAGTTAACAGGACACGTAACTGCATCATCCCACTAATCCAAATGAGAACGAACCTTTGCCACTTAAATTTTTAAATATTATTAATAATTGTATGGGCTCTGGAAGGCTTGGTGAGTCAGGCAATCAGTCCAAAGGTGGTTTTTAGAGCAGCAACTCACCAGTGCGTTCAAGTGCGCCAAAATGCGGACATTCGCTCTATTTTGTTTGCTAATTTTCCGGAAGTGTTTCGCCGAATACGCATCGGCCAACTATTTTTGCCCGGATATGCATCGACAGCAAATCGTCGACATCAGTCAGGTAAACATTTTTGAACGCCCTGTATGTGCGGCTTTATCAATACGGGGAAATTTAGGGATTGTTTTCGTTGGCTGTTGATCAAGCTTTTAACTGATTAAACAGAATCGGCGCACTTCCAGCTAATTTAGTTAGCCAGAGCAAACAATTTTGCTTTTTTCTTCTTGGGTTTTCCAGTTCCATACGTATTAAACCGTGTTAACACTATGCAGCAAACAACTGGAAATGTGCCGCGATTATTTAAGATCAACAGCATCTTTGGACTCTTTTCGATCATGTTGAACCTTTTTTTAGAGGCAAAATGTTCATTTTTTGCAACGTTTATATAAAAGTGTTGCCTGTTTTCGCTGTTCTTCAGATGCGCAAATTTGGAACTTTTCGAGCCCTTTTTTAGGGACGAAATTTTCATTCTAATGCCGCTCTACAAACTACCTTCATGTTGTAAATTGTTTGCCGTTTTTCGTGTAAAAGCTGCAAAGCGCGTGCATTTATATTATTGACTTGTTAATTGAGTGCATCTTTCAAACAGATACACATTATTTTTCCTTGAAGTTGCGGATTTAATGCGGTTTGGGTGATTTTTGAGGGCTTTTCTACATCGATTGCCAGGAATTCTAGTCGCCACTTGCGTTCATTGAAAAATTACAAACTTCTTAAACATTTTTGCTTTGAATAGTCTTCAAAAATCAGGATTTAGTGCGATCTGTGTAAAGTCTTTGAAGGCATGAAGGCCAACGGTTTTCTGTAGAGGGTGGGAATTTTTGGGCCAGATTTTTGCAAAATCGTCAAAAATTTGAATTTATTGCGAATTGAATGGAATCTACATAATTCCTGCACTGAATGGTTACCTTCAGATTGCCGAATTTTCCAGTCGTTGCTTGTCCTAAATTAAAAGTTACGAACTTTTAAGGGACGTCATGTAATTGCGTGAAAATAGTCATTTTCTGTTCAGTGTTTATAAATTTATGAAAAATCAGCATTTGGTGCGATTAGAACTAAATTTTCAAAGATTTCGGAATCAACTGTTTTCTATCGAGTGTGAAAATTTCAACTCAATGCTCGGCCTAATTTGAAAGTTACGAATTTTTATAAATTGCCATACAATTGCGTCATTGTTGGTCCACAATTTAAGAATTCTTAGTCAGTCAGGTTCTGATGAAATTTTCAGAGCTTTGAGATTTAACTATTTTCTAGACAGCTTCAAAATTTCAACTCAATGCTTTCTCCAGTTTAAAAGTTACGCATTTTTAAAGGTAACTGCCATTTTTAATACACAATTTACAAATTTAAAAAATCATTGTTTTTAGATTTTTTTTTCTAAATTTTCATTTTTGTTGAAGCAGCTGGTTTTCGCCGTTCTTCAGATGCGCAAATTTATTTTGCAGACTTTGCAAAATCGTCAAAAATTAGAATTTATTGCGAATTGAATGGAATCTACATAATTCCTGCACTGAATGGTTGCCTTCAGATTGCCGAATTTTCCAGTCGTTGCTTGTCCTAAATTAAAAGTTACGAACTTTTAAGGGACGTCATGTCATTTTTTGTTCAGTGTTTATAAATTTATGAAAAATCAGCATTTGGTGCCATTAGAACTAAATTTTCAAAAATTTCGGAATCAACTCTTTTCTATCGAGTGTGAAAATTTCAACTCAATGCTTGGTCTAATTTGAAAGTGACGAATTTTTAAAGATTGCCATAAAATTGCGTGAAAACTGTCATTGTTGGTCCACAATTAAAACATTCTTAGTCAGTCAGGTTCTGATGAAATTTTCCGAGCTTTAAGATTTAACTATTTTCTAGACAGCTTTAAAATTTCAACTCAATGCTTTCTACAGTTTAAAAGTTACCAATTTTTAAAGATAACTGCCATTTTTAATACACAATTTACAAATTTAAAAAATTAGGGTCTGATGCGATTGAAATGAGATTATCATTGTTTTTAGAGTTTTTATAGAAATTTTCATTTTTGTTTAATTCGGTCATTCGATTCACGTTGCAAAGCTATTGCAACTTTTGTATAAAAATGTTGCCTAGTTTGAAGCAGCTGGTTCTTCAGATGCGCAAATTTGAATCTTTTGGGGCCCATGAGGGGCCAAAGCGCTACACAATTGCAAAAAAGTACAATTAAAAATCATCGCTTTCGGTGTGCAGATAAAAGATAGATTTCAGCAAACTTAAATTTTTAGGGCGAAAAATGACTCAAATTTTCCATGCAGCACCTTGAAAATTCCACTAATTGCCGCTTTTAATTTAAAATATTAGCTATTTAAAATGTTTAGAGCTTTTAAAGTGGCTTTTAAAGAGTGATTTCTGTGGAACTGGTGACTTTTTCAGATTTTTAGGTCGTCGTAGCTCAGATTTTCTTCGGGACGTTTCGCAAGCATTATCAGAGGTGGTTTGCACGGCGCAACAGCACACACAAACCCGAAAAACTCACCAGTTTCAAAAAAGTTTGCTTGAGTTTTTCGATCCCAAATGGTATGCGCAATTTGTATAAATCAAACTTTTTTATTTGCTTCTAAAATGTAGAATTCAACCCGCTCTTTAAACTTAAAGCTTAGTGATTTTGCGTGTTTAGGCCCCCTCGGAAAAATTGATTTTACTCCAAAAAAATGAAATTTGAAACATTTGCTTAATTGTGTGGCTGTTTCATCTCACTTTCGCCTAAAAGTAAGTCCTGTTTCACTCGGATGACACCCTACATAATGATTTCTGTCGGTTTTTTAGCTAGAAGGCATGTGGTATTTAATCGAGAAACTCGTTCACACTGAGGAAAGACATCAGACGATCCGATTAACGTCCTGTCCAGTGATCCACATCTCCGAAGATCGGACCACTTTCACCACTCGTAATCCCCTGTACAAGTTCTACGATTCGACCTATGGAGCTCAGTATCCATATAATACTCCGAACGTTCCGACCAGAAATCCCACTGATCCGAGGACGACGTTCGTTAACGAGCAGGACTTCATCAAGCAAAATGAGGAATATGACCGGTGAGTCCCAAGAACACTTTTTCAAGATTTAGAAAATCCTATGGTGCGGGTAGGTCAGTCCTAGTAGCTTGGAAGTGTCAAGCCGACGTGGTTTCCCTAGCAACGTGTATACATTCCATCAGTTTAAAAGGGCAACGACCGTCCGCACCAAAGCCTAAATTATAAAGTACTGCTTCACAGTTTTTCTGATGGTATTTTCTAGAAAAACCACCTACGACCACGAGCGAAGAAGGGCCAATTACGCCTCCTACATGAAGCGCCATTTCTCCAAAAAAGGCCTAAAAATCTACATGAGCGACGGCAGCAGCAGCATCGAACACTATCTGCAGTACAACACGAGCAATCCAGGCTTCTGGACGTTGTCCGGATCGGACGAAGGTGAGCTTGTGGCAGCGTCCACCAACCAACCACTAAAATCAAACATTTTCAGCTGTCCAGGACAACATCAAGCACTTCGCCGGCACCACCCTGGTACTGAAAGCAGTGGGAAACCATCTGGTGCTGCATGTCTGCCAGTCGTCCAGAGAAGTGAAGGAACTGTACACGATGATTTTATCCAGGGAAAACTACCTGGACAGTTGGGACGTGCACAGCGTGCATGGAATGCTGAACCGGCAGGGTTTAAGAACGACTTTTGTGGAGAAGACTTGCAACGGTGCTGAATCGTTGCGACTCACTTTGCTGATCGTTCTGATCGCTTCCATGCTAACTTCATTATTTTAGAAGCAATTGTTTGGGTTAAATCACCCTATGTAGCATAAAAATATATATTTTGGTTGCCAATTTGTGTATGAATTTTTGGCCAAACGGGATTTTTCAATAGAACTTCATCGTTTTCGTCAGTTTTTACACGTTGTTCAGCTTTGGAAAATATTGCTCAAAAGTGTTTTTTTAAGCCGCTGAGCAACTAAACCAGATAATTACCTTTTTTCTTCCTGCAGTTGCAATCATCAGGATTCAATTCATTGTTACAGATTCAGGGCATCTGGTACCTGATGGAAAAAATCAACCACACTGAAGAAGTCCGCTTTACCACTAGGAGAACCAGCTGCCCAGTAATCCACTTGTCTAGGTACCAAGCTGGCGCTTCCAGCCCCAACCAAAGAACTATAATGAACCAAAAGCCGCTGTCCTATGAAAGGTATTCCAGCTAATCCCTCGCTTTAGCGGTTCTCCCACCAAGTTGTTCCAGATGGCGGGACACCCAGATATCAGAATTGAGGCACTTATACGAAATCAAACAGCTGCGCATGTATTGGGACGATGACGATAAGAGCAAAGAGTATCAGTTTCAGTACAGCATTACCGATCCTGGCCTCTGGACCAGCTTCGATGTGGATGAAGGTTGAGTGAGGGAACCTTTCCAGGCAAGGCCCACTAAATCTGGTCGTCTTTAGGGACAAGTCGGCCTCCGTCCCCGCATGGAACGGTCCGGGTGTTAAAAGCTGTGGGCAATCACTTGGTATTGATCTTTTGCCTCACAGATCCAGACCCTTTGCAGTTGTTTACCATGATTCTATCCAGGGAGGAATTCATGGATGGGCGCATTCTGCATAGTGTGCGCGGTCTGTTGAGGCGACAGGGTATGACAGTAAAAGCCATTGAACAGGCTTGCAATGGAACAGCAGCATTCAGTCTCCAGCCTCTATTGGTCGCTCTGAGTTTGATAGTCCGAGTAATAAGAAAATATATTTAGTTACAAAACTGGCGCTCTTTCACAATAGTTTCGATGATTTTGTGCTTCTGTATTTTGCCCGAGGTGGTCTTTGGGAATGAATCGAAAATTTCCAGACGCGAGGGGATTTTGAAACGGGCAAGTTTTCCTGCACAGTGCGTCTTAAGATCGCTCAAAGTCACCGACATGTTTTTCTGGACCCTGATGCAAGCGCACACTTCCTCACCAAGACGCTCATGGGGAAGGCCAACCACCTAAAAGAGTTGAAGTTTCCAAACTTGTAGGAATACCTGTGGCGCAAATCGTTCGGGACTAGGCGGGGCCGCAATTTTGAGCTCGTTTCCACGGCAACTGCGTGGGTTAGGCACACCAGATAAATTTGGAAAGGACAATTTGCGCCATGGACCTTACCTGGACTTCCAGGACATGCGGGTGTTGGTTCAACACGTCCTCGACCTCTATGGGGTAGATGTTTTCTCCTCCTCGGATTATCATGTCCTTGATCCTCCCCACTATCCTTCCATAACCATCCTCCTGAAGAACGAATTGATCGCTGCAAATAAAAAAAAATAAAAACCCAATCAAAATGAACCAAAGCGGGAAATTCTGGAATAATTACCCTGTGCGCAGCCACTTGTCGCGTCCGATGAGCTCGTTGGTTTTCTCCTCATTTTGCCAGTACCCCAGCGTGGTGGAATATCCTCTGATCAGCAGTTCTCCCGGTGTCCCCCTTGGGACAATTTTACCCTGAAAAAACGCCTTCTTAAGCACCTGGTCAGCTGGAGCAGGCATACCATCATCTTCATCTCTGCGTACCTCTGGGTCGACGATTTTCACCTCCAGGTGATCACCAACGTACCCAACTGTGGATGTGGAATGCAATTCATCATCATCTGGCAAGGACTGGAAGGCTACAGCTGTGGACTCGGACAGTCCATAGATGGACTGGAAAATCGAAATTGAAAACGTTGCCTCATGAAGATTGATTCCAATACTTTGACTTTTCGAAGATTCAAGTGTTTCTTCATTTCCTGGAACAAATGAACCGAGGATGGCGCCCCTCCGCTGATGGCAATCTCTGGATGAATGTCCAACTTGCGCAACTGCTGCCTGTTGATCAGATCCACGTACATAGTGGGCGTCCCACAAATCATTGTGCATCTACACCAATGAAAAAACAGTAAATCCGACAAGACAACACCGCCTGGACAGTTACTTCTCATCGCATATTGCATCCAGAGATTTATCGGGATTAAAGGTGGGCGCAGGAAGCACCAAAGTGGCGGCATGATGTAAAGCGCCGCCAATGGCCACCACAGTGCCAAAAACATGGAAAAACGGCGCCTGCAGGCAAATGGTATGATGTTTGGTGTGCAACTCGTTCCTCCTGCCCACCAAATAGGAATTGTTGGCTATCTGGAAGTGGCTTTGCATTGGCACCTTTGGGGTTCCAGTTGTGCCCTAAAACTGGATGAGAATTAACTGGAGCATGGATTTGTTGATTGAGTGGCTTCTGTTTACGGCCCGTTTTATTTTTGGCCATTGCAACTGATTGCTCACCGATGTGAACTGGAAATGGCAGACATCATCAGGTTTGATGTGATCCTGCATCGACTTCACCTGCTTGATGTCGCTTTCTGAAGGCAAGTCGAACAGTTCTTCGTAGCTGAAGGTGCCTCTGAAAATCCATCATATTTTGCCGAGTTTTTTTAAATTTTTTTCCAAACGCGACAAAAAGTCTACATTTTGGCCTCCAACTTTGAAATGGTAAGAAATTTATAATGAAGCCTAATTCGGAAAAGACGGTTCTGGAGATTATCTATCAAAAAGGGCTTAAGGATAATTATCAGATTTTTTACCGTTTC